TACAACCTGGTTTTCTGCAGTGATTAGCATAATGACCTGACCTAAAACAATTAAAACAAATCTTAAAAGTAGGCAGTATCTTAAATCGGGCCTCATTACTAAGAGCAAGAAACTGTGAGCAACTAGATAGGTTATGATCACCTTTACATTTTGGGCATAATCTACTAGGTAAGTTAGCATTAGATGAGCTATATTTATTAATTTGTTGCGTTGAAACCATAGACTTAAATTTAGAAATTGACTTAATGGGATTAATATGAGAAAGTTCCAAAGTTTCTAATAAGTCTGCACGACTACGCAAGAATTTCATGAATTCACTGAATTTCTTTGACGTATCTTCGTCTGTACGACCTTTGAACTCTTCCCATTCCCTATACGTCCTAGGATCCAACTTCTTAGTAGTTAGATAAATTAATAATGTATCCCAATATTCAACTGGTTCACCTAATGCCTCTAAAGCCCTCAAATTCTTTTTCAATTGATCAATTAATTGCTTTATACTACAGGACGATTCTTTTGGTATTGGTTCGATATTAAACAAGGTGACAACGTGATTCTGAATCAGTAATCGTTTATTGTCGTACCGCTCGCACAACACCTTCCAGGCTACGGAATAATTACTAGCTGAAAATTCTATAGATTTAATTACCACAGCGGCGGACGACTCTAAGCAAGCACGCAAGTAATGAAACTTGTTTATGTCGTCAATATCATCATTAGAATGTATCAGACTAGCAAAGGTGTCACGAAATTCTAACCAATTCTCGTATGACCCATTAAACTTTGGCAATTGTATGGTAGGCAATTTGACAAGCTTTCGGTTACTAGTTATACTTTTAAAATCAGATGACGGCGAATTGCTACATGCAGCTAACAGGTCCTGCGCATTTGATAATGCTTTATAATACTTAGACTCGAAATCCTCTCGAGAAACATACTGCGCATCAACCTCGTCAACTAAACACTCAATCTGTAACTGTACCTCGTCAAAGCGAGCGTATAACGCTTCAATCCTCCCTGTACGCAATTGTAATTCCTTAAGGGTTACTGAATCTAAAGGTGGTTTTAAATCCTTGCAGTAGTTGACAAAAGAAGTTAACTGGCCCTTGAAGCTACTCCTTTTCTTAGTGAGCTCTTTAAATCCATCTGGAGACATTCTGGGAAACCAGCGTTAATCTCCTAGAACGTACAAATAAAATATTAATGATAGTTCAAGGAATGCTTCTTAATATTATAAGCGATGATTATTCCTTATAATGGTTAATCCGTATACTCCAAAATAGGCTTCCAAAAGAGTTTTCCAAAATCATTATCCTGCTCGAAGCTGACCATGTTTAAATGAAATACAGGAATTATAAAATTTAATACTTGATAACCATTTTTAATAGAAAAGCAATAATGACAATGACATTAGTTCTTCTTTTTTAAACAATATTCTTTTTAATCATAAACACATACTGAACAAGAATAATAGTTTCCGTAATAAAATTACATATTAGTTATATCGCGAAATGAAAATAACAGAACACAATAAATACTTGATATGCAAGAAAAAACCAAACTTTGCAAACAAGTATTTTCTTCGTAAGAAGTTGAAGAAGCGTCGCGTGTCCAAGTGCGCCGCGCCGCCTACATTACATTGTTCGTACGTCATCCACCAGGATTAAATAAATTCAAGCATGCATTAGCCGAGTTGCTGATCTTATTGCAACAAATTATGATTCTGAATCAATGGAAGCGAATTTATACTGTGAAATATTTTTAAACGTCTATTGATATTCTTTTTGAAAAACTTCCCAAAAGAAGGAGGTACTCAATTCGTCCGTATATATTTTTTTCTTCGTAAAGATTTATTAGGACGCTCGTCATTGATCACTATTTAAGTTATAACTTAGTTATATGATAATAGTTAACTAGATTAAACGGTTGCAAATTGGAAATGAGTTCAAAAAATGCATACGGGTTTAATCTATGTCTATAGACATCTATTTTTCTATGCTTTTTGAATGCAACAAAAATACTTTAAACACTTTTTCCTCCGTTCAACGGCTTTCGTTAATTTACCAGGCGTATGCTTGTTATCCACAGGTACTAGGATTCCCGAATACGTTCACATTCCGAGCATACGAGCACAACAAGCAGCGACGAACGCCGACACAACACGCCAACGCGCTCGAAAGTGACAGCAGGGTGGGTACAAAGGATGGTTCTATAATGACATGCTGTCCTGGTACATGGTGACTGATTTACACGTGGTGTTGGTTGCCCCGTGTCATTGGCCTGGATTTTTTATGAGTAGTTCTGAGAAATTGCGTCATCACACAAGCAAGCGTAAACAAACTCCAGTGTGTGTTACGCGTTATCGCTCTTTGTCATCGAATGCTTGTATCTATTTTAAACGTATTTATCATGCCTATACCTATTTATCATGTATTCATGAAATAATCTCTTCTAAATACAGATCAGGTGGGCCGAACAGTCATTTGTGAAATCCCGGGTGAAACGATACCCACCTTATGACCCTGACAGAGAAATACATAGAGTGAAAAGAATAGAAAATGCTCAAGATAGGAACTCCTCTCTTTTTGACGAAAGAAAGAAAAGAGAGGCTGTTCGAAGAACATCTTTATTTAACGACGAACTTTGGGGTTATCAGTGGTATTTGGTAAGAATAAGCGGAAAAAAAAATTACCTACAATTCCTATTCTATTTACAATATTGAGATTTTGTTATCCTTTTAGTTTTGGTACAAAGCTTTTAATATCTTAACCAAGGAGTGCTACATTTTTTGTACTTTATTTTAGCAAGACACCAGAACTAACCAAGATCTACCCAGGTTGGATTTGAACGTGTTGCCCGTGTACGAAATGGGTATAACCGGGCGCGGTGTGCGCCTCTCCGTACTGGACGACGGCCTCGAGTACAACCACACCGATCTGCGCGATAACTACGTAATGTTTTTGACGCCCTAGTACAGTAGACGCGCTTGATGGAAGTTTCCGTAACAAAAAGGCGGTTTTTGTTTTGACGTTTTTCCATTTAATCTTTGGTCTCTTCCCCGTTGTTGACGTGTTATTTCTATTCATACTAGAATTAGTTTTACTTCTAGATAGCCAATTTTATATCATTGATTAGTTTTTTTTTTTACAATTTTTTTTAAAATGTGCAGAACATTAGTTAACTTTTATGTCAGTTATGTTTTCTTTATTTTGTAAGTTACGTTTTTAAGTTGTATTAGGGCCAATTTTTATTGGTTAAACATATTTTTTTATTTAAAAAATTAATCGTTTACGAGTAAACTCCAACAAAACAATGTTACACGTCTAGTGTATGAATGACCGTTTTACGCACTGATGACGTAGTATGTCATTTGTCGTTTTCGAGCTCAGGCTTTCGATTATAATGCCATCTCTTTCTTCCCTACTATGCGAGCGTCTTACGGAATTTCAACATTCATATCTTTGGCTCTTCTGCACTCTTGGTAACTTGGCGGCCCAAGCGTCGCACCGGTAACGTCCAGTTGCGCGCACATGACAAGCCCCTCCTCTACCTCACTCCTTACCAACAATGCGGACTAATTAAAATAGGCCTTTGAATTCATTGTCTAACTTCTTTATTATAATGATAAAAGCATACTAGTTTTTCATACTTTTATGTTAATATGCTTACTTTTTAGGAACCAGAAATAAGTTGGGACTGCAATGATCACGATTCTGATCCTTACCCAAGGCAGGAGAAACAAAATCGTAATTCACATGGAACTCGATGTGCGGGAGAAGTAAGTAGTACATAAATAAATCTTAATGAGGGTTTTTAATATTTAGGATAAAAAGTATTAATTTCGTGCATTGTTTAGATAGTGATGACAGCAAATAATGGAAAATGTGGAGTAGGCGTGGCCTTCGGTGCCAAAGTGGGCGGAGTTCGAATGCTCGACGGACGTATAACCGATCGCATAGAGGGCGAAGCGATAGGTAAATTATTACTGATACCTCTCGATTTATGCTGTCCTGGTATGTTTGATCGCCATGTTGAGCACGGAATGCCATGCGCGGACTGGCTGTCAATGAGAAAGATGTCCGTCCCCATTTTGTTTTCGCTAAAACAAGGGCAATCAATGTAATATTTATGATCATTTTATTCTAACTTTTATTTAGTTAGTAGGTTTAAATAATAAATCTAAGTTGATCTTAATAATTCTGATTTTTGACTATTGCCATATGTTTTTGTGTTGACTATTTTTTTTTACGAGTTTACTGTTCTTGAATCACTGACTTACTGACTGACGTTATATTTGTAATGTCGTTCAACATACCAACTGTGCATTATGAATTCCTAGTATCAGAGGCAAAATATGACGTAACAGTTGTTGTCTTGCCGGGAAGGAAAAGGCGGCGCGACGGCGAAGTTTGAGGAGGAGGAGCAAAGTGCGCCCAGTTTCCTCAACTTTAGAACAATGTTTAGTCCATTTCTACTGGGCATTCATAAATTACAAGGACACTTGACATTCCATTGAGCAATTCGTTTCTTCAGTCACGATGTAACAGTTGACCGATAGATGGCGTGATTTATAAATACTTACGTAATAGGTTTCGCGTGGGATAAAGTCGACATTTATAGCGCTTCTTGGGGCCCAAATGATGACGGGAGTACAGTAGAAGGTCCAGGAAGGCTTGCAGTCGAAGCTTTGAAGCGTGGAGTTTCTAAGGTTTTTACATTTTTATGTTTTGAAGGTCCATCTTGTTAATATATTTTAGCATTGTTTAATTTCTAATACCCATTTTATTTAAGGGTCGTGATGGCAAAGGGTGCATTTACGTCTGGGCTAACGGCAATGGGGGCGGTCACAGCGACAATTGCAATTGTGATGGGTAAAAATAATTAAATCGCTTCTTTGTATTAATGATTAATTTAAATGAATATTTGAATTTCACTAATTATTTCAGATATTCATCAAGTATTTATACTATTTCTATTGGAAGTGCATCGCAGCAAGGTTTGTTTCCTTGGTACGGGGAAATCTGTTCGTCGACGTTAGCCACTGCGTATTCCTCCGGTGCTTACAAGGATCAAAAAATAGTACGTCAACAAAACATTTAGTACAAACTAAATTATTACTTCTGGTCTTCGATTATTAAATATATGATCGAAGCTTGTGGTTAATTAACTATTGGTTTTTTAGGCAACAACTGACACAAACGACTCATGTACATTGAAGCACACTGGGACTTCTGCTGCGGCGCCACTAGCTGCTGGGATTATCGCCCTCGCTTTGCAAGCTAAGTTAGTATCTATTTTTTTTTTACATCAAATACAAGAAATATACTCTAAGGCATTTTAAAAATTGATTTGATTTTTAACAATATTACTTCAAACTATTTTCCGCAGTTCTATTAAAATATTAGAAGTATTTGGAAATCTTACTTATTTTTTTTAACTCTAATGTCAGTTTTGTTATTTAATAATTGTTCATGTATACCTCGTCCTATGGTCTCCTAGTAATAAAAGCGAATCATGACGTAACAAATTGTTGCCTCGTTTCGCGACGAGAGCAAAGCAGCTAAAAACTCAGGTCAATTTCTACCAAGCTCTCATAAATAGCGTACTGGTACTGGTATTCATTTAACCTTGTGAGTCAATGTTATACTACCGATCGATTGAGAACATCGTCAATTCATAAACAGACTAGTTTCTGATCGCAATTTGATAGAATAACTTTAAATTAGACCTGTAACAAAATGTTAACTAGTTTACCGGTTGATGGTTTACTTACTATAGATTCTAAGCAGATGAAAGGACTCATGAAATTATGTCTCGTCGTATTTATACACTATCGGAGTTCACAGCCGCTCGGTAACACGATGAGTAACAAATTACTCAGTAATGCAAAGTCGGGAAACGTTAGTATGAATTTATTTATTTCTGTAAGAAAGTACTTGACAATTTTTGTATGATAATTTTATGTGAACAGATAGACTGCGAAATCTGTTAAAAATCACAAATGGATTTTACATATACGTATATTTATTTATAACTAATAGGTAAAATAAATCTTCTGTTTATTCAGTCAACTTGAAGTATATTTTGTACGTCTTTTTTTATTTGATTTCAACTATTTTTCTGTTTTTTTTTCCACTAATCAATTAGTAAATAATCTACCTCATAGACAAATGTTTTTAACTGCTGCTTTGTTTTAAAAATATGTTATTTAGTTAAGTAATGCTTTTAATTCATTCAATGTCTATTCAAACTGACGTCAGGTCAAAGTTTTTGTTATTCTTCAATTTTATGGTCTCCTAGTATCAAAGCCAAAATGTGACGTAACAATTGTGTCTCCACGTGTCTGGCCGGCCGGCCTCGCTCACCCTAGGAAGCGAAGCAAAATTTGCTGAAAACAGCAACTCAGGTCAACTTCTACTAGGAATTCATAACAAATATAGCGGTGATTTAAGAGTTGACGTTTAAGCCCTTAACATGAAGGAAAAAAGGGGTTAGTCTGTTCTGTCTACTTCAAAAGTTTTAAAAAGATACGGAATCGCAAATCGTAAGCGCTGATTTTATTGAAAATATTAGTAATGCACAAGAGTGTTTTCTTATCGCTTTTCTTCTCTTAGAAAACTGAGATATCAAAGTTGAGAATGTTTTAAAAAGGAAATACGTATTTTATATATATCCTGCATTTTTCAGTCCAAATTTAACTTGGCGCGACGTTCAACACCTCATTGTGTGGACATCAGAATTCTCGCCTCTATCTCATAATCCTGGCTGGCAAATAAATGGGTGGGTATGTCTAAAATACTACATTACTTTTTTAATTGACGGTTTTTCAGTCTTATTTTTTTTAGTGCCGGTTTTCGTTTCGATGTTCGCTTTGGTTTCGGGCTACTTAATGCGGCCGCGCTTGTCAAGTCTGCACTCAACTGGACGACTGTTCCGGAGAAGTGCAGTTGCCGCATTGAAGCTCCACGGTGAGTATGCTGCCCTGGTACTTAGTACAAGAATGTTTCGCGGCGATTGCTCGCAAAGCATGCAAGAAGAATAATTCCCATTTGGATTGAGCATGCGATTGGGTGCGTGTACTAAGCGAAATAAGTACAGTTGAGGAAACTGGAGGTGTTTCACCTCAAAATCTACAATCGTTTAAATATTTTAATATACGAAAAAAAGTATGTTAGTGATAAAAGAATAGTTTATTTTTATTATTTTCCCTTTGTTTGTACCACTGCAATCTAATAAGTTATTTGTAGAAAGTGGCGGAGTTTGTCTCGTTACAATGAACAAAGCATTTTTTCTCAAGTGGAAGGAACACCGCAGATTTCCGCAACTGTACATACTACTACTATTTGACATGCATACGAATGAATGGCATCATCATTTTGTATCTCTCTCTTTTCGTATGGTACAATGTGTGATAGTACTACTGTATCGACAGAGTGAGAGGCAATCCGTATTGCGATTTCAACTCGCTCGCACAAAGTTACCAGTGAGTATTTATTACCTCCTAGTAGTAGCGTCGCAATGGTTATCTAACACGAACGGCGCGGCGTTGCGAAAAAGAAAGAAGACTAAAAAAACAGCCACCGCGAGGAGATATATGATGGATGGAATTAGAAATAAAGAAAGAGCTCGTTTTAGACATCAAACGAAGTTGTCTTTGTCTTAAAAATGTTTAGCATGTTTTCTTAATCAATAAAAGCTTATTTTTTAAACCTATTTCGTGGAAGTTTGTCATTTTTATTAACTTTTAAGCTCTTCTAGGTCAAAGGTTTTTACCGATATGAAAGCGACCTACCTATTTCCACTGTTATTGGATAAAATCACGTTGAACCATTTCTCAATCTAACAACATTCTACGTTTTTCTATAGCTTAAAAGAAGCCGATAGGAGAATTTCAACAAAAGAAGACGTAAATATCGAAATCTATGTTGAAAATTGCGGAGTCAACTACATCGAGCATGTGGAACTTGTCGTAAATGCTAAATACAAGCGGCGAGGAGCCTTGGAAATATATTTAACTTCGCCTCAAGGTACTTGTGTTTTATTAATCTCATTGTGTTTTATGATAACCTGGTAGTTGGGCACAATACACTGTGACATAACAAAAACTGGTGAACAATGTTGGGGCACGACACAAATGGAAGCCTACTAAATCAAAACTACTGAATCAATTTCGAAGAGTGATATGTCATTCGATTATTCCCTTGAGTTGGATATGGTTGATTCAAGTTGAGGGTTGAAGTTATTA